GTGTGATGTAGTAGTGAAGTGTGTAAAGTAACAAATAATAACACACGTGTGTGTTGTGTGTGTGTGTTTCCCCAGGCTGCGTCCGTGCCGGCGGGCGGGAGTGAGATAGGAGGCAGCAGTATGTCCGACTCCCCGCACACCAGCCCCAGCGTCTCCCCGACACCCAACGGTCAAGATATGGAGGTGAGGAGTGGTTGGCAGCCGGGTTCTCTGGTGTGGTTTGCTTCTTCTTTCCTATCAAACATCTATCTTCCCTTATCTCCCCATCTTCTTTTTTTTGTGTTTGTTACTCTCTTGTGACACCTCTAATCTTCTGGCGCTCATATGACCTTCTGCAGTTGCGAGCGCCGTTAAACCTCTACTAAAACTAAAACGAGATATGGAGGGAGAGAGAGAGAGAGAGAGGCGGAGAGAGAGAGGGGAGGTGAGGGGGGGGGGGTAGAGGGGCACTAACCTTATTGAATAAGCAGTTTATCGACCGTGCCCATTTTTACAGTGGACTCTTTAGCTCTTCGTGGCCAAAACGGCGCTGACTCAGCGTTGTTCCGCTATAACCTCTTCGCCACAACAACCCTCATAGCGTTGTTACACATTTTGTCATGTTTTCTTTCACTATCTTGAGAATCCGAAACTTTTATCCAAAGGGATTTACTGCAATAAAAGCACAGAAGCATCCTTCCCAACTTTCCATTTTGGTAAATTTAATAATACAGCTTGCGGTTTTACTTGAGTTTTGATGGATTTTCTGTGTTTACAAATTGGTGACCTGATTTTGCGACCAGCTGATTCAATAAAAATGTCTCGGTGACCAGGACCGTCTGGTGATTTGATGAGTGAAAGGGTTTTTGTATACCTTCAGACAAGTCTAGGGAAATGTGTTTGTTGAGCGAAAATCGTTAAAAGTAAGGTCTTGGTGGGTAAAATCCATGTTGAGCCTGTGCAGTTTTTTTTTCCTCCCCAAAAAGTTTTTTTCTCTCCAAAAAGTTTTTTTTTTCAAATGTATTTGTCCTGTAATATTCTTCCCGTTGCACTTTTGAGTTCAACTTTAGTAAATTTACAATCTACAAATTCTGTTGAGTTTTTTGGTATATAGTTTCATAATGTTGTCGCTTGTAGTAAAGAAGCTGTTGCAAACTTTGTGTGCGACCGTGTGGTGAAAATAGTGGTTACATTAAGAACACTGCAGCAAAGTGGGGAATACCCGCGGGGCAGTGCCGCTGACTGTAGTGTCTTTAGGCCACTCCCAAAGGGGGGGGGGGGG